AATATATTATAAATAAAATGTTATAATATTTAGTTTACATTATTATAGTATTATAAATATTAAAAATAATATAATATAATATTGTATAATGCATTATAATATTATATTGTACTTGAATGTGTTATATTATATTATAATTATTACATATTATTTGTAGATAATAATCTACAAATAATTTGTTATTATATAAATTTTATTATATTATGAATATATTATTTTTATATTAACATTTATTAGCAATAAATTATTTTATTTATTATATAATATATCAATATTTTATATATTATATTACATTTACTATACAATATATTATTATAATAATATTATTATACTATTATTTTATTTTTAAATATGTTACTATTATATAATATTTTTATAATTATTAATTTATTATAGTTTATTTATTAAAAAGTTAATAATATTAATATAGCGATTATACTATTGTGTAGTTTATTATTATTATTATATTATTATTTATTATCAATAACTTTTTTATTATTATTTATTAGTTTATTTATATTTTATTATTATATAATACATTGTTAACATATTAAATACTAGTATTTAATATGTTATTATATTGTTATGTAAGATATTTTATTTATTATATTTTTTATTGTTTAATAAAGTTTACTAATATATTAGATTAACTATAGTATAGTATAGTATAATAAGCATGTTGATAATTACTCTATATTAATTACATTTAATATATTATGTTAGATATTATATTAATACATTCTCAAACTCAAAACCAAAACACCAAACTTATACCTTTTAGGTGTTTTAAAATAAGTGTTGTGTTTTTAGTTTGAGGATGATTTAGCTCAAAAAACATCATGGTTTTCAAACGCATGATGTTTTGTTTTTGGCAAAAACACCATGAAAACAAGTAAAACACCACGATATCCAAACGGAACCTTAATTAACAGTTTACCTAGGAGAGAAAGCATTGTGAATTGTGAATTGAAGGATCTAACATGCAAAAAGAAAGTATGAATAAATTTGATTATTATTATATCATTGTTTTATACAATACGTAATAAACAAATAGGCTGAAAAAATTTAAAAAAAACAACAATTTACAGTTAAAGTACCTTATACACATAAAGGATGCTATACAAGAATTTAATATGTATATCTTATTTCATAAATTCAAATTCAAGCATGCACGGGTATAGACGAACCTTTTGGTACACATCCTTTGAAGACACCCCGAAGAGAATTCTTGATGTTGAGTTCTTGGTGCACGAGAATAGGAAGTCCTTCCTTGAGACACTCATCGATCTTCTCCAAAGTTGAGACAATATAAGTGAAATCTGGTCGCTTTGATGGGTTTGCTGACCAACATTTCTTTATGAGATTGTTGAGTGCTGGTGAACAGGTAGTCGATAAAGGAGGCCTCAAGTTCTGAAGAAGAAAAATAAGCATAATAAGCAAGAAGCACAAAGTACTGCCAATTGCCAAATCTGAACCATGCTTGCGCATGGAGTTGCAAAATTAGTCGTAATTATTTGCTTTCAATGTCATAATCTCAAAAAAAGAAAAAAAAAAAGGCCAAAGCTCACTGATTTCAGCAAAACTTGTAGTACCAAAAATTTTGGCACAGATTAGAAACTGACTCAAAAGGTTAAATCTTATGCGCCGTTATCATGAAGTAGTCTGTGGAGATCTATAAACCAAGCAGATGATATCAGATGAAAATGTTAAGAGAGAACTTTTTCTCCATCAACTGTACTAGAGAAAATGTTGTTCCTGATTTGATATGTTGTTTATGACTGAATCAAACAGATTAAAACTTCCCACGTCGTCAAAATGAAAGTTGTTTAAATTTGTCAAAATGTTTAGATGATACAGATATTGAATGCAAATATTGATTATAAAAATTAGCCATACAAGCAATATATCTCTTAAGCAATCATGTCAAAGATGGAGAATAAGAACTTCCCAATGCTGGAGTCTAGCATTCGAAAAAAGAAAGGTATGCCAAAGATGCTAGTAACTTGACATAGGAGATACAGGAATAGAGTATAAGGAGGATTTCAAGTTGAAAGATATTTGTTTGCTTAGAAGCTAAGCTCCGTCGAAGATATAATGAACATGATTTGTCCAAGCAGAAGAGATATAATAAAGATACAAACCTAGACAGTGATCTTCGTCTCGTAGATATTGCTTAGGTCAACAATGGATCAAACAAATAAACTTTTGTAATATTAAGAATTTAAGATGGGTAATTGCAGATAACCTCCCTCATCTATACCTTCAATAGCACTTACCACCCCTGAATTCTTTTATTAGCAGTTATCACAATATTACCCCTGAATTGACATTTTAAGAAGGATGAATTGCAAATGACCCCCCTCCCCACCATGAATTGAAGGACTTTAACTGCTACTAAATAAGTCGAGGGATGATAAGTACTACTAAAGGTATAGATGAGGAGATTTATCTGCATTTTATCTTTAAGATATTATGATATAAATGAAACATTTTGCAAAAT